TTTTTTTTATATACAAGACAGTTTATTCATAATCCTATTTTACATATTCCAAATGATAGTACCTATTATATATATATAATCCGCTGAAGCAACTGCTATTTACTTTTTATTTACACAATGGCATTGCCAGTGTTGAAGGAGAACTCCCTCAAAAAGGATGCAATCAAATCAGAGCATAGTAATAACCACTATAATAGTGTTATGCTATGCTTACAAGTTTTATCATCAATCTTAAATAAAACCCAATGAGAACACAACAGTAATCTCTTAAGCTCTTGACATAAAGATAATATTCCCACATAATGAGACCCCTGTTAAGACGTTGTACCTGAATTTGAAGGACTGTCCAAATAAATGATTGACATATGACTAATGAAAGTGAGACAAAATACTTCCAAGACCTAAGTAGGGTTATGTCTTGTATATTTGAAAATATAACAAGGCTTTATAATTTCTGTAAAAAAAAACAAAATAAGACAAATTTGTTATTTGAGTAAATGATAATGATGGGTAAATATGAAAGTACATCTGAATCATTTGTTACATGAAGCAGTCCCACTTATATGCCAATGTTTTCCCCAATCAATCATACAGAAATGAGCTATCTGCTTGCTCGTTCTTGCCCTGCGAACCACACTTTGCATGGAGAGCTTATTCAATACTCCATATAAAGTCAAAAGAAAACATCATAGCTACATCAGGTTAAATGAAGAACACATGAAAAATCTAGGGCAGGTTTGCTAACATCTGATTCCAGCTCCAATGGACATAAAGGTACCAAAAGTTCCACCTGACTGCAACATAACCTTCCCTACGTTATTCATTAGTTCCCTGCCACGCAGACCATATCTGAAATAGAAGGAATACATTTTATATTTCATATTTTGCCTCAACCTCATGGGTCTACATATACAATATATCCTCTACTCCCACCCTTCGAAAAGGGACCATTACCAAAAGGCTGATCTCATGTATTATCACTATATATGTAGTCTACTTTAAAAACAGCTTAAGCAATAGTTTTTATAGGCAAGTCACGGAAATAACATAAAACCATCCATGAGGGAGATACCTAAGAGCTGTGAAACCACCAAACAGGGCCCCTGTTGCCATACCGACTGAGAAACCCATCATAAACCCAAGCTTGACACGATCCCAACAGCTGGGCCCTTGACCCTGCTGGTAGTAGTTCCCTGCTGGTACTGCGGGCATGGTGTTGTATATCTCCTACTCCTGAGGAAGAGAAATATCATTAGTCACTGCATGAATTATATCCTAAGAAAAAATTACATCATAATGACCAGCCTGATCTTCACTTGCTTTGGATGATTAAAAAGATAAGAACTAAAATGCAGAAGATGCTTTGTTCTATCCATTCAGTATCAGGTTATGAAACAAAACACATCTCAAACTTGTATAATTTATAGGCTAATAAACCTCCCAATGTCTCTTAACCCAATCACAACAGGAACCTCAAGTTCAATACTGAACAACACCTCAGGATGCATGTGGAGTCAGCTGCTCATAGTTTTTCAACATTTCAGTTACGACTAGAACTGCACATGCGGCAGTATAAGGTTAAAAAGCAACAAATAAAAAGCAACAAATTTCAAATTTGTTGAAATAGTTTTCTGAGGTTACTATTAAATTCAGATTTCTCAAATCACATGAGGTTATGTTACCAAAATGCTGAAGTGCAAATTATGCTTTGGGGTCACTTGATTTTTTTTTCTCCTTTATGGAAGAGAAATGAAATGTATAAATTTCTCAAAATTACTTCCAAAAGGCACATTAACATTCTTCATCTGACTGCATTTCCTGGAATGCGTTAATTTTCTTCCAGCCATCTTATTTCCCGTATCACATCTACATTCTCTGCATATCTATTTTAAATGTATTCATAGTTGTTTTCCTCTATCTATAAATCATGAACTACTGTTTATTCATAAACTGCTAAATACTCACTACCAGAAAAATAAAATGTTAAAGCCATTTTGACCCTAAAGGAGTTGATGTTCAGAGTTTCCTACTTTAACCCCTTGGTGCCGGGTATGACGTGTACGTACGTGCTATGCCCACCGTGAGTACTTGTTTGATTGTTTTTACGCATAGATGGCAACACTTGTACTAAATCACCAATGAGCCAGTTACAAGCACCGCCCGTCTCGCCCGTTTACCCGTTTCTTTGATTTACAAAATATTTTACGTAATCTTATTTTGCTGTTACTAATGTTAAAAAAATATATAAAAATTATGATGTTTATGATAAAAATAACACCATTGAGCTTCATAGCATTAGTGAAAAATACGTTTTTCCCGCCATTTAAATCAGGCGCTAGCAGAGCCATCTATCGGCAGACATTTGACGAAAAACATAGAAAGTGGGCACAATATTTTCCCCGGCACCATTGGGTTAAGGGGAGCGGCTAGTTGGGGGCCGAAAGGGTTGAGGGGAAAATAACACTTTCTGGGGGAAGAGAAAGAAAGAAAGAAAGAAAGAAAGAAAGAGCAAGAGAAAAAAATAATCTAGGGAGAGCTGCTATATCTGGCAACACTGATTAAGTTTTACTCTTATATTCACTATATCTGCCAAGTTATGGCCTGATATATAACCCCTACTCTGTGTACTTTTTTCATTTTGTGTGGTTTACACATAATGACTTTCAATGTTGTAGAAAACAACATACTTTGATGAAATGTTTGAAAGTATATCAGTTCTGAGCAACCTACACTCCCGCTTGGCTGCATGTTCAGCTGGGATGGTTCAAGGATATAACAGTGAGCCTCTGTTCTTCAGAGAGGGAGGATGCGTATTTGCCAAAATACCAGGACACACTGGGGCTATTCCAAAATGCATAGGTTTCCTGGGAGGATGAGGAAACTTTCCGTTACAAGAGACAAGAAGAAAGAAATAGAAAGCAAGCAGTAAAGAGAAGAAATGAGGTTTGAGGACACAGCTGTAGTGCCTCCCGGAGCTTCCCAGAGACCCCCCCCCCCCCCCATGACCATACTTCTGCTGCCCAGCAAGACATCCCGGTGTCCAGAGAATCAGTCTTTCCTGCTCCTGTTCTCTGGATCATGATAAATTGTGTTATGATATATGAGTAACTTTCTTAGCAAGGACAGAAGAAGACCCTGATAGGAAAAAAAAATTATTTTCATCAGCAAGCAAGACAAAACAACCTTATATCTTTGTGCTGTCCATGCAAGAATGAGGAAAGAAGTCTTGAAAAATATTCATAACTTTAAAAGTTAACTATCTCTAAACTATGACTTCTTCTCCTTTGAAATGCATCTCCTCAGCCATTTATGCATCAATTTCAATGAAATTGAATTTATAAAATCAATTTTACTCTAGTGGTCTTGACTTCTCATAATATTTACATCCCAATAAGTCAATAATAATGATATTCCCTTTCTAACCAGATGCTCTCTTTAACCTTTAGCTGCTGGGTGGCATGTACCATAGCATGCCTGGACTATATTCCAGGTGGCATGTATGGTCCTGCCACGCATGCTAGGGTGACAACATGAGCCCCCGGCAGCAGGGCCACTATGAACACAACCCAGGAGAGAGGCATTGTGTATCTGGAAATCACTTGTTGGCATTGGGTTAATACACAGGTGTTCTGGCTCAAATTGCTTTAACTTGGAATATTCATAATGAGGATATTTTGGCTATATTTACTGCGATTACTTTTGTAGCTTTTCCTCTAATATTTCTGTGTGCCTAAATATAATAATTGCTGTATTTCATTCTTTAGGGGCTAAACAAAAAATAGAGAATAGTCATTACAGTTTTTGCAAAGTCTGAAAATCAGGACCAAGCAAATATGAAGGAATATCATAATAACAACCATCTAGAACACACAAAAAAAACACTATGAATTACAAATCTCAAACTGCATAAAAGTTTCAAACTGTGTGCAAATTCGCTAATCAAAGCAACTTAAAAAGACTGCCTAGTCATTGCATACATTTAGGGAAGGCGAAGCTTACATCTAAATGAGGCGATTTATCTTTAAATAATGGAACCACTCCAAGTTCTAATAAGCCTGTTTCAACGAAACTGCGTTATTAGCATTTGCTGGAGGGCTGCAGCAAACACTAGTCTCAAGGGTATGTGGTCCCAAATTCAGTGATTATGCAGTTGTTAAAGGTATTCATCTATGCACTTTTTCTATCCTTTTCCTGACCATACACTACTGATAAAGCCAACTAAATAAACTCTTTTTTTTCCCCACAAGTTCCTTTCTCAAGCCGATGCATAAATTCAGAATACATCAAATTACATGAATGAAAAAGAGAGAAGAAAATTATTTCTTTTCCTCTGAAATGCAAATCTTAATTAAATAATAAATGTGCAAGTTATTTAAATAAGTGGTTTGATAACAATACTTTGATGAGGGTTTCACTCCATGTTATAATTCCCTTATTCTAAGGTCTTACTCATTAAAATAAACACACACACTCACATACAACACAAAATCCATCAGTCAAATCCATTTAAAAACTAAAATGGGGGAAAAAAAAAAATCTATGAGAAATTATACAACAAAAACATACCTTACGAGGATTAATATTACCCTCTCAGAGTATATAAAACCCCTTGATATATCTGTAATTACTACCAACTGCAGATATTACAGACCTGCCACTATAAAGAACCAAAAAAGACTCCTCCTCATAATAAATAACCAAGAAAAGCTTCTAAAATACGTAATCATTTCTCTCCCGAAGAACCACATGATACCCACAGCCTCACTTGGGGGGGAGAAAAACACCCTTATTTACGGGAAACTGACTGCATAACCACTTCGAAAAAACGCCCAGGTCAGCCGAGTGAGCCTTCAAGAACACCTTTCCGTGGGGGGTATTCTTGGACACGCGAAATACGAAGCAGAAAGAGGAGAATAAGTGAGAAAAATTCTTACCACGGGATGTCGATGGATCCGCGTCTCAACCCTGCGCCTCGGCTGTGGCTTCGTATTCGAGAAGGTGTGTTTATTGTGGGATCGGTAATGTTGTCGTTTACTTACTATTGTTCATTTTTTGCGTTGCTGAAATTGTAAGGTTAGTATTTACAAATCGGTATGGCATGATATACACATCTTCCACATCGATAACCAAACAAAAGCATCCCTGAACATCGTTCAACTCAACCCCCCTCCCCCCACCACCACCACAAACAATCAATATAAACGAAATAAAAAAATACCAAAATCTTCAAAAACAACATCTACCAGAACCCCCCTCCCCCACCCATAAATAACAACAACAATAACAAAAAAAAGAGAAAGAAACCCACACCTCACGTCCCCCACGGAATCGGACAATCACGCTCCCCTGCGCCCTTCCGCCGCCACCCACGTAGGCCTACACAATTCCCGTCTTCTGGGGGCGATTATGGCACTGACAGACCACCAAACCCGCGGGAAAAGGATAGGTAAGGGTTGAGGTACCAAATCCCTGACCTTAGGCTTGAGAAACGAGTGACCTGAAGCTCTTATCTCAGTCTTTTTTTTTAAGGGTCGTGTTGGCGTCTGGTGTCATTTAACATTTATTCGGTTATTTAAGGCATTAAATGGACCCGGATTGTCTGTATAATCGTGTAAATGAAGGGGAGAAAGGGATTGTGAGACCATTATAAGCCATACGTATTTGAGAACGTTTGAGTCATAGGCCTATAGGTTGTACTCAAGTGGAGGAGATTATAAAACGGGAATATTATTTTCGTTTTGGAATATCTCTTTAAGGATTATGTAAAAAGGAGAATATCTGTTGTATATTTCAGTGAAGTAACCAAGTATATATAATTTCTTTGGGATTGGTTTTAGAGAAGGTGTGGCAGAAGAATAGGAAAATAGGGACATGCAAGACAAGGCCACAAGAGAAGTAAAAAGAAAAACAAAAAGGAGAGATATTTAATGAAGGCAATAAGACCCTCAGAGTTTTTTACGTCTTGCTGAAAGCGCTGCGTCTCAGTTCCTATTGGTGTGGTTGGTGAATTTCTGGAGCAGGATTATGCAGACCAGAGGAAAGACCCGGTTCAGCCTCAGTCTTTGCCGGCCTTTGCTAAAGCCTGAAGGGCAGAGTTGCTAAGTTTCAAGTATAGTTTGGCATCTTAAAACCCCAATGAATTGGATCAAAGAGGACTCCCATCAATTTCTGATGTCCATATACTGTGATCCTTAACTCCTTGTCACAAACTTTATTCAACAATCGAAAGTGTTGTGTGTGGGTGTGCCTCTTCAGGCGCTGCCAGAGGCTGGGTTGATGGGGGACTCTGCCTCTGCCTACAAGAATATCATCTTCAGTTTGCCCTTGCTTAGTGCATCCATACTGGAAAGATTAACCCCAGTGGGGAACCATGAATGGTTGAAAATAATTTGCACCCGAAGAAATTGAGTCTTACTAATCCTTTTATTTCTTGCCATAGCTTGACTTTTCTGTATCTCTGTTTTATGCATGATGTAAACAGTTACCCTAATTTATTTTTCTCCGCAGGATGGCTCATTGAAGATGGTTCAAACGCAGTCGTACCAACATCGGCAGGACACCCAGCAAGGGCACACTAATCTCTGGCAGTGCGTTTACAGTATTTGGTAAGTTTTGCATTGTTGCTTAAATGGCCTTGATTGTTGATTACATTTTTTTTTTTTGCAGTAGCTAGCCAATGTGAGGCTCTTTTAATCCTTTTAAGGTTTTTAGATATGTTGATATTATCTGGTTGATACTCTGACATTTTATGCATGCCCAGTAGAAACTTTTATTCATTAGTCTGTGCTGTATATATTTTAGGAAAATTCAAATTTATTGCCTTAGTGTGGAAGAATGTGTAAAGGGTGTAAGGGTGATGAAACACTGTGATATAAATAGTAGGCTAAAAAAAAATGTCACTTGAAGTTGTAGCTTTATTTAAGTGCGTTAGATTTGTATTTTTCCATTCTCTTGTATGCACACTTTTTCTCGTGAGATCCTCTATTTACAATTATTGTTTATATTTTTCTTCCTATTTATTTCCGTATAATTGAGTTTACAGTTTGGATGAAAATCAAATCAGATTTTATATTTGGTTTTCAAGTTTTTGTTTTATAATTCTGTTTGTAAGAAAACATTTGTTTGGTTATCTAAAAAGGAAGAATAACAATGACATCATGTATTTCTTTCAGGCGAAGAGGCAAAATGAGGATGGCACTGTCAAGACGAAGATGCTCGTGCGTGTGGGGCTGGTTGCTGAGCCTCTTGGCCTTTTTGTATTTCTCTGGCCTGTACCAGTACCTTCTAGCATGGTCATATTCCAAGCACTACACACACTGGGGCCCACTGCTCTCCCTCGACCCCATCATGGAGAAGATGAGAGCAGGAGAAGAGGTGGCACAGAAACCGGTCAATGAGTTCACCCACACATATATCCATTCCAGTACAGAAAAGTGTGAAACTCAAGATTCCATTCGGCTGATGTACGTCGTGAAGTCGGCAGTCCAAAACTTTGACAAGAGGAAAGGAATTCGAAACTCGTGGGGATTTGAAGGCAGGTTCTCCGACGTGGAAATTAGAACTGTTTTTCTCCTGGGAACAAGACCGAGTGAGCCCCAGCTGCAGGAGAGAGTTGATAAAGAAGCAGAGGAATACAAGGACATCATACAAGCTGATTTTATTGACTCTTATTATAACAACACTCTAAAAGCAATGATGGGGATACATTGGACATACCAGCATTGCCAGTACGTGAAATATTTTTTGTTTGTTGATGATGACTACTATGTTTCAACAAGAAACATGCTTCGTTTTCTACGGGATCCAGCAAACTACCCACAGTATTTGGAGAAGTATGTGGTATCTGCAGTAAACGAATATAAAGATTTCTTGTATGCAGGTTATGTTTTCAACAATTCTCTTCCCATAAGGTGGATTTTCAACAAGTGGTATGTCTCATTAGAGGAGTACCCTTATTCACACTGGCCACCATATATTACAGCAGGTGCATATGTGCTGTCCAGGAAGAGTTTGGAGTACCTTTACATTGGTAGTATATACACAAACTACTTCCGTTTTGATGACATATTCCTGGGAATGGCTGCTAAGAAGGCTGGACTCGTACCCTTCCACCATAATGAGTTTTATTTTGATAGGAAGACATATAGCAAAGAAAACTACAAGTGGGTCATTGCCTCACATGGATTTAATGATCCTGGAGAGCTGATGGATGTGTGGAGTGAACAGAGATCAGCTGGCAATACATAAATAGAATCTATGATCTCCATTTGCACAAGTTATGTCTTTGCATACCTCAGTTACATTACAGTTCTGTAAAGTTCTTACATTTTACTTACCAAGACCTTTTGTTTATTCCCTTTTCAGCATTTTTTCTGTAGTATTATCTTTAATAGGAACATTAACCATTTGAAAGGTGCAGAAATGTTTCCCAGTTCTATATTGATTCTCAGATTATTTCTCTGATATTTCTTTACTTGCTGAATAGGTAGTACAAAGTCCATGATGTATATAGTGCAATTATGAATTACTGGATATGACATATCCATCTTTATGTTTGTTTTTCTGTATAAATTGCATTTGATTGTATGTATAAGGCATTGATTTTCCAAAGAGATTTACTATCACTGATTTTGAAGTCTCCATTTATGCAATCCTTTTCAGTATTTACAGGCAAGTAACCCTAAAAGGAGAGATGTACATTTTAGGTTGCAATTGAACATTGGCAATGCAGAGATATTTATTCATGACTTTGACTTTATTTTCATTTCCTTATTCATGTTGAAATCAGTGGTTCCTATACTGGGTCTGTGCCTTCCAAGGGTTTGGTGTGAACGTAGAGGAGGAAAATAGGAATTTCTCCATCTACTTTAGAAATTCTCTCAATCCATGTTAAATTGTATAGGAGTTTTTAATACAGGAAAATTGGTCAATGAAGAATACTAAAAATGCATCTTTTTTCAGTTGAAATTTTTGATTCAGGAGTCATCTTTAATCATTAGGTTGAAGGGGTATACAAATAAACTAGAAACCACATGAAGGGATATGGAGGTAACAAGTGTAAGAACCACTGATGTAGATGGTAATCTATTTGTGGTGCTTTCAACTTCTCTTAATTGATAGTGTAGACATAACAGCAAAGTGTGGATTTGCTACTACAGTCCAATGATACCTTTGTACTTTTTTTTAACTAAAATAAATGACAAGAATATAGTGTATTTAGTGTTAGGGTACAATTTATTTATTTTTTGGTATTACACACTGTGAATGCTTTTACCTAGTTGAAAAATTTAAACAAATGTCAAAAGTTTTCCCTTTCTATCAAGTGCAATGCTTATAGCAATACTACTAGGTTATACGTGATTGGATTAATGATGAATTATTCAAACTGCAAGTTCCCTTTTCCATTTGGTCATGTATTTTTTTAATAGAAAATGAAATGTGTCTTCCCTTTGCTATATCACATTTATTTTATTGTATTTTTCGTCTTTCATTAACTTACTAAACTGGCAATGTAACTGTTGTCTTAGTGTGATGTAGCACTTCCTTAAGGTGCCAGAATTTTACATGAAGAAATTTCTAGTTTTTCTTTATGTACTGTGACATGGGATATGAGGTAATGGCTTTGCTACTATAGGCCGTCTAGATAATCTTTAAGGTAGGCAAAGCAGTGGAGCTGGAGTTGAAACTTTCTTTTGGGATAAAGCCCTAGATATGTGTTCAATATGCTTTCTTTAAGAGGCTGAATACTTTGAACCATTATTAGCTCTTGCTACTAATTAATATGATTATTATTTCACTAACTGCAGCTACAGGGAAAGGAAAAGCAGTCTGCAAATCTCTGCCACAAAATGTATAGTGAGCATATTACTGAGTGATGGGTAGAATATATATCTTAGATCTTGGTAGAAGTTGCTGTATGTTATATACAGTTATCATGGCTAAGAAGAATGATCATTGCAGTGTTCATATAATCCATGGTTGGTTGCATGAACATTGATAACCCCTATAACTCATTATCAACAGATGAATCAGGATATCATACATGGTTCACCTGTGTTGTATGCCTGTGGTGTAAGATTTGTTAATGTCAAGAGGAAGGCTTGCATCTGTCCATGAATTATATGAGCATGTCCTGAATTTCTTCCTGTTGGTAGCAGGATGTACCTAGCTTAATCTGAATATCAGTGGTTTGTGAGTATGCCTACAGTTAGAAATATGGTTTGTTAAGATACAACCTTTTAGTAGCAGTTGTAAAGAAATTGTCACTTTGGGAATTGGTTTTCCTGTTTATAAATCATATTGTTGCTAGAAATGTGGATAGATGAAGAAGAGTAAAGGAACAAACTTCTACATTTAATATATTTATTCAAAGAAAGTCCAGGGAATGATTAATGAATGTATAGGAACCTATTTATCAGGTGGTTGCTATTAAGTTGATTTTTTGTCTTTTTTTTTTTGCCATCATGTACTGAATGAATTTGCCCAACTCTTATGACATAAATTAAGAACAGAGCAGCTAGAAAGTGGAATAGCTTTTGACAGCATATCTGTGATACTGACATGATTAATTGAATAATTGCTTCCATAACCCAGTTTAGTTGTATATTAAATGGAATTTTAACAGGGTCCCAATACTGCATGTTGGTATTATGTTATTTTGCCTTCTGTAAACCTTTTGTTCTAGAAATGTGTAAAAGAAGTTGGAAGTTGGGGGTCTAACTTTGATTTATAAGGTGTAAATACAACAAAATTTCTTTTTGATAGTATGATATTCCTTGAATATTGATGTATGAATTGCTGGTTGTGATTTTGTGGTTTTCTACGATGTTCACCAAATGAAAGGCTAATCTCTCTCTTTCTAAGTCTCCCCTCCTACATTTTTCATTCTTTCTTTTATCATTATGCTCCCTGACCCTTCTACTCTTCCTTTCACTGGCTCATAAGAAATGAAATTGAAGACAGAAACTATCAGTATTTTTTTCTGGTGATATTATCCTGATATATGGATGTTGCTTCTTGTATGTAACAATGGTATCTTTTTTTGCTTTTTTATTGGGGGGGGAGTGCAATTCAAGATAAGCAAGCTCTCTGATTATTATTGACAACTGATGTGAAATTGATGGAGTAATATTTTTCATTCTGATGTGAAATTCATCTGGTGTTTTCTTAAACTTCTGCAGTGATTTCTAGATCATGCAGTATATGTGATTTTATTATCTATGTTTTGTAAGTGGATTTCTTGTGTTAATAAAATTTATGTTGTTCTGTGTCTTTTTTATTTTCTCAGAGGATAACATATATTTAATATCCTTTTCAACCAATGTCATAAAATATTGAATAAGTTAAAGTAAATATTATTTTGAGAGAGATTTCATTTTGACTCTGGGTTCCTTAACTACCACAAAATTTGTACATAAAAACTTGAAGGAACGAAAACAGCCAACTTCTGCAAAGTGCAAAGGCCGATGATATCACAACAGCAAGGGTCATGAAATAAAATAGAAAGAAAGAAAGGTCAATGTAACCACGAAAATGTCAGGTCGTAAAAAGGTTAGGGCTGCTAAAATCTCACACATATTATGTACACTTATACATACATACACATCTGTACTCACACACACACACACACACACACACACACATATATATATATATATATATATATATATATATATATATATATATATATATATATTACTTTTTTATATGTACACACACACAGTCATAACACGGTCACAGAATGTTCAGTGTCGTAAAAAAATGTCAAGAAAGGAGTCAAGGTTGAAAAAATAGCTCAGGGTCGTAAAGAAGTCACATAAAAGTCAGCCTTGCAAAAGCATCAGAAAAAGGTCAGACGCAAAAGATGATAAAAGATGATAACCCCAAGAAAGGTCGATAATTAATCAATGTCACGCTAAACCTCAAGTTGCAAATTTAAGTCACAAGCAGGTTCAAGTCCGTAAAACACCAGGTCGAGATAATTTTGAACACAAGGAGAACGAGAGGAAAATGAGTGAAAAGTTGAAAAGTCAATAGAGGCGATAAGGCCATTAAAAAGTTCAGATTCCCGAACAGAACCGACGAAACACTGAATTATCTCTCTAATAACGTTTTTGTTTGCCGAAATGTGCATCAATTCAAAAAGTTTTACAATAATATAGATATGTCAGACAGGACTCCTCATTGGTACTGAAACAACTGGGTAAGAAGACAAATACACACACACACACACACACACACACACACACACACACACACACACACACACACACACACACACACACACACACACACACACACAAATGCATACAGATAAACATTCCCTAGGCTTTATATGTATAATTTGGGATTATTTTTAACGCATAAAATCTCTTCATAGATGGTTTTTAAAATCCTTTAAACACACTATTTCGACCATTCAAACAAAAATTTCCACTCATTAAGAGACTCCGTTTCATTCTGCATGTCATTTCATAATACACTAATAAGACTGTCGCTGC